AGTTGAAAACCACTCTAAACAAATTTATCCCAAGTGAGAGGTCGGTAATCGTAGAGCATTGAAACTTCCTCTCTCATCTATGCGCTATGCTCGATTGTAACAATAAATGGTTACTTTTTCATTGTCTGGTGCGCGTGTAGAAGAGTTCTATTCAGCACCTTGTACATCCCTTCCTAAAAAAACTCTTTATTTCGGGAAAAGGGACAGAAAAGACCAGCTGTGCACGAGTCGAGTTTCTGAATCTTTATTATTTCTTTGTTGATGAATTCTTGTTTACAATTTCCCTTTTGTCTTAAATAAGTTTAATTAAGTTACAACAAACTTTCGAAAACATCTGGGCATTTGGAAGCAAGTTTCGAACGTCGACACCGAAAACATGAGACTGGGAACGAGGAAGCATTTTTAAGTCAGCTTGACGGTGCCACGAAGATACATAGTGCTGTTTAGTAACTTCGCTGGCCAAAACTGTGGGTTTAAGGTCTTAGACCAATCTTGTTCCCAGACGTCACTAGTCTTTCGTTCAGCACCAAGATCTCTGGGCGAGATCGGAAGGCGAGCAAGCATTAGTCACAGCGGTTGCTCTTTCTCTACGAATGTTCAGATACCGTTTTTTATTTGGACGCATGCGCATCAGAAACCAGGATTCTCTGAGGTTTGCCTAGAGCTAGCGTGCTAAGGGAGTTCGATCACCGACGCCCAAAACCGCGGGGGCTCTGGAGACGAGATTGTAGACATACTCCTAGCCTTTCGAGACCGGTCTTAACACGCCAAACAAAGAAATACAGCTTCCTTTAGGTTTTGATGTTAAAACGTCCAAAACTGAGATTTCTCTGAGCTGTCACAAAGTCTAATGATAAGTTTCCTGGTAACAACGCCAAAATCAAGGCATTTACTCTCACTTTGACCATCATCCAACATCACAACGCCATCAACTTGTTTCCATTTCTAAAATTAGAGACAGTTACATACAACATGTCAGTGTTTTATTCCATGTTAATAACATCTTGATCCTTTTGCTTGCACTTCAGTTTCTTAACGTTTGCATAGAGTTAGCTAACTATAGAACTATAGAATCTTGTGCTTGCACTTATGCTGTCATTGCTAGTGAACACCAGGCTTTAGGTAAAACAAAAGATGGCAAACCCTCCCAGTGTTCTCAACAGACATTTGAGAGGATGAGAAAGATCAGTGAAAAGACATAAGCTGCAGGCAAGTGTTGGTACTTTCTCAATTTTTTCACCCTCCCATTCTACAGTTCTTTGATTAGTGATCACACCTTTGTGGTGTTAACTTTGTTGTGACAAAAAATACTCTGCTTTTTTTAAAACGTAAATTATCATGTTATCATGCTGACTACTTGCTGAACTGCTAAACTCCACCTTGATCTCGCAGTTGGTTATATTTCACAGAATGGCCTATTGTGTGGCCAATTGTGTTCATAATGTTAAGACTGACTTGGAAATCACTCCCCCAATATCAGCGGGTCTAAAACGCAGGTCACGGGTCATTGTTTTACCAATACTGGAACAACCCTAACCCCTTCCTAATGCTAACCTTAGGCCTACATACTACACTAAGACAATGTTTAAGCTTAAGGTTAGTATTAGTAAAGCATTAAGGCTGTTTCAGTATTGGTAAAAACAATAACAACCTGTGACCCATGACCCGTGCTTCAGACCCGCCACCCCAACATTACTGAATTGTATGTTTCAGGAAACATCCATAGTCCCCATTCCAAAGTAAGGTCATTGAAAATTCAGCTGAAGAGGAGGGCCTTCATAAACCAACATTTTTAACGGAAAGCACATTTAAAGCTAAGCTAGCCCTAGAATTTCAAAAGGGGTGGATGAGTGGTTGAAACAAAAAAACTATCCATGGGAAGGGTACGGAGTTTTTGTGAACAATACACCTTGGGTGCAAGAGAAGGAGAAGTTTCAGAGGGAGCACAGCTACATTACATAAGTCGTGCTCCTAGCAAAAGAGTTCAGATTAGAACTTACAGTGGACACTTCTCACCTGTTGGCTGTCACTGTCATTGCAAGTTGCTGTTCTGACCAGACTTCCCTCTGAAGCATTAACGGCCCATAAGCACATGCTGATGACTTTGTTTTCGATTAGACCACCAGACAAATTTGAATCCCTGAAGCCCCAAGCCTATTGAAGAGATGCCGGAGACATTGAATACACCTTGGAACTTTTTTCAGCTGAATTAGTCAAATAACAAACATTTTCTATTGTAAAAAAAAATGTCTGTGAAAGGAATGTACAGTTCACCTGATTTCCACCTTCGCCATGGCATTCATATAACTCCACGTCCTTGCCTATTGGTTGTTCCATTGAATCAATGCACATTCCATTAGCTCTTGACTTCACCTCATTTTTTCTATTTAGATAAAAAAGGTAACTGATCTGTAATTAAACCACATTTAAAAATCACCATTTCCTCTCATTGTAGGCATGCAATGTGTACAGAGAATTACTAGCCTGTTCCTGGTGAAAATCATTCACTGATCTTCAATAACCCTTGAGGATCTTCATGAGGAACTTAATATCAAGTGAAAATAGATTTTGAAAAATAGTTTTTAGAGACTGATTCTTAGTTTTAAGAACAACTCCAAGTAATTAACCTCTTTTCCTAAGAAGCCTATTAAGTTTATCACAAGAAGGAAATACTCAAGAGAGAGGAAAAGAAAAAAGGTCATATGCAATATGGAATGTGACATGAGATCAAGGGCAAGTACATGTAGAAATTTCCATTCCTGATACTGCAGAGTGTTGTGTATGATTTTGCAAAGAATTTATTTGACAGTGGTGCCAATGTAATGTAACCAATGCAGCAAGCATGCATTTATTTGTTAAGGGTTTGAAGATAAAATCACTCAATCTCTTATCTAGTACCTTGGTGGCACACTTGGCATTACAGGTGTTTCATCCTTTGTTTCATTCTCTTGAAGTGCACTCCATGTCACTACATCTTCTATTGTTTCCTCTCCAACAGTGGGGACCATTCCTCCATTTAAAGCATGCAGAGCTTCCATGGCCCTGTGACGTCGTTCTGAAAATTCCTTTGCTAAGCCATCAACCTTTTGATCTAAACTTGAAAAAGTCAAGTTGATGGTTTCATGGAGAGTCCTTACCACATCATTTGCAGAATTCTTGTCTTCATTCACTTTGGAACTAAAGACAAAATAGAAAGCTGGTTAGAGTTATGTGCTGTGTTTCTATCAAGTTTAAGTATAAATCTGCTAGTGTTCTATCACAAATGTTGTTCTCTGATTGGCTACACTACTTAGTAACTATCCTGTGATAAATAGTGAGCAGCGTAGCAGTGTGCACTTGTTAACAAAATGATGGCCGCTTTTTATGTTTTTGAGGTACCTGTGAGGATTTAGATAAAGTTTTGAATGACTAGTAGATTTATCCTAAAACAATATATTGTTCACTCTCGATTTCTATGCATGACAGTTGACTTGGGCTGCACCCTCATCAACTATCATGTGATAGAAATCTAGAGCTCATAATCTAATTGTTCAATAGAAACATGAGAGGAAGTTTGGGAACACCAGAAATGCTGTGGGAACATGAGCCAACAGGCGCATGTATCCACAGTTTTTTCAAGTTCTCCTAATCTTTCACGAGTGTTTCTACAGTGTCTGTAACTCTATAGAAACACAGAGAATATGTCAATGATACTAAATGCTACAACTATTACAAAACTCGAAATGAAAACGCAGCGACTAAACATACTGTTTTTTAGTCTGAACTCTGCGACTGCTGAATGACAACTACGTAACTGACATGACCGATTCGAATATTAATTAGAACAGACTTGAATTCAAGCATGCAGTGTTTTGTTTGGACCGCGTTAGTGTTAATGAAAAAGCATTTGCCAGAATAACACGTTTTCTACTTCTATTCAAAAACAATGTGACGAACAAAAAGAAAACAACTTCTCTACTTTGATCATCAAAATGCAAAATTTAATTATATTTGTACGCACCATCGCTACGTCAACAGCTTGTGCTAGTTCTGCGTTTCTATCGAGTTTTACTATAAATCTACTAGTTAATGTTCTATCACAGTTGCTGTTCACTGATTGGCTATGCTACTCACTATCTATTCTGTTGTAGATAGTGAGCAGCCCAGCAGTGTGCACTTGTCAACAAACTGGCCGCTGTTTCTTTGCGTTTTCGAAGTGTCTGTGAAGAGGATTTAGATAAAGTTTTGAATGACTAGTAGATTTATACTAAAACGATTAGCATATTTGCTCTTGATTTCTAAGAAATCTCAAGCTCATAATCTAATTCTTTGGTAAATAGAAATACAACTCTTAGTGTATGCTTTCTTTCAGGGTGTTTTCTATTATTATTGTTGGGAGAACTAGACTTCTTTAAGACCACTGTTTTATTAAGGTCTGACAGTAACAGTTGTTTTCTTAATCGTCACACACATGCAATACAGGCGCTCAAGACACAATGTTCAGGTTTGATGTCTGAATCCACAAGGTTCTTGCAGAATCCAGGAGATATTAAAAGAAGCTACAGAATAGTAAACTTAACATGTCAAGATACGGGGAATTCTCTAGACCTTCAATATCAAACTTATTTATAAGATTAAGTTGCTTAAAATAGAACTTTTCATTCATATTACTTTAATACCTTAAATTATCAATTTGTTCTTGGAAGGAACTTAGTGCTTCCAACTAAAATAAAAACAAAAGCAATTATTAAAACAACATACATTTCTGAGCTTACTTAGCCGGCTGGTTAAAAAAGTTTGTCTTCATGAACCTTTCCCTGTAGTTAGTTACCAGGCCTGCCCAGCACTAAATAACTTGAAGAGTAAGTTCTGAGCATTGAGTCATAATTATATAAACAATGGCCTCTATTTGGAGTGGAAATATGCTCAGATATTTGTCAGCGGACATTATCTGTTCTGAGAAGCGAACAGTTGCTCAAGGAAAACTGTGAGCTTTGAGGAACAGATATTGTCCAAGGACAAATATCCGAGCATATTTTCGCCCCAAATGGAGACTATTGCGTTTATTATTATTATTCAAATCTTTTTTGCAATGCGAGCAGTTTTGAAAATTGAGATATTCTCCAGTTTTAGCTGGGAAATATTCAGTCACATGATGTGTTTAGACCAATCGGGCATGAGCAAAAATATTTGATGGATTATAAGATGCTATATTTACTTCTCCTCCCAGATGGTACCAGGGTGCAAAGAAAACTAATGCACTAGTCTGAAAGTCATTGTCATCAGCCCTACAAAATTACATCTCTTACGGTACTTATCTGTAATTTGAATTTCCTTGAAAGTTTGGACCTTGTGTACTTAAGATATCAGTCGGCTGAGTATTGGCTGACATGATTATTGACTACTGGTCGATAATTTTATTGACTTGGTGGATATGTAAACTGAGTGTCAGTCACCATGTGACTGAACCTGCTTGACCATCAGTTGCCATCTTTTTCTTTCATTTTCCGAACATTTTCCCAAGGGGGACTGGTGAAGGTTGAGTCTATGAGTATAAAGGGCTAGAATGCTATGGGAGGTGGGAGAAGTCAGGACAGGAAGCCTTATTCCCCAGGTACAGGGAATTAGGAGAAAAAAGAAAAAAAATGCAACATGGGGTTACCTTTTGTGACAGAAAAAGGACACTACCCGTAAAGGGTATGGGAAGCGAAAAGATCAGGAGCCAGTTGTTCAAAGGGTGGATAACTTTATCTACAGGTAAATTGCTACAGACTCATTTTTGTTAACAGTTTAGATGATAATGTAGTGATTTTTGCAACTTTTGAATTCTAAATATTGGATGTAGTAAGTGTTGTATCTTGTTTTTATTATTGTAATTAGCTTTTTTACCTTAATTAGGATAGATGCAAAAATTGGAGCGATTTACAATAACAGGCCACTTATTAACACATCTCTCTAAAAGTTTGAAATTTTCCTTTGCTTTTAACCTGCTGTAAGTGATCACTTGACAGATAATGGAGTGAATAATGGATAATAAGGTGTTGTAACATTATTGTATTCCTGGCTAGTACAAGAAATGGAAATTTCTTAATGGGAAGAATCAGATTTTTTTCTCGAAGTTGACTGCATTGGCATTGGCGCATGGGTTAAGCCTTGGCAGTTACCATATTCTAATGAGGAAAAATCTTGACCCATTATGGTCTGAGCTTTCCGTAAACGACCACCTCCCATAAGCGACCACCCAGGCTTGACATTTTGGGTAGTCGCTTATGGGAGGTTTGACTGTGGAAACAAAAGGAACCATTCAAATTCAGTGAGATGCAAATGAGTGGCCCAGCATTCTACAATCTAGCCCAGAAATTCATGAATGCTTTTCTTCTATACACTGTCCATGTAAATGTTAACCTTTGATAAAGCTTTTACTAACTAACTTCCTCACTTCATTACTCTAGAATATTCATCGTAGCTACAATCCGGATGGGAATAAAATGAAGAATAAAACCAACCTCCCACAGTATCATTGTGCGCCAAACTTGTACGTGGTAAAACTGTTAGCGCCATTTTGTCCAGTGAAAACCTGTACTGAGCGGACACCCTTGGGACCCTCACTAGTGTATGCTTAATGCAGCGTGTTCGCCCTAAGCAGGCTCTAACATATTGTGCAATAATAGTTAACTATTAACCCTTTTGTAACTCAGTGTAACACAGTGTACGATCAAAGACTGCTCATAGCACAATGTTCAGTCAGTCAATGCATCAATCTGGAATAATCTACTTAGCTTTGAAACAATATCGATGAACAACGTTAAAGGAGTCTGAGCTGAGCTTTTAGAAGTAGAAAGCCCTCGAAGTGTCCGCTTATTGCAGGTTTTGTGCAACAAAATGGCTTAAAATTGATGTCCATGTCCACTTAATAGAGGTGTCTGCTTAACAGAGGTGTCCGCTGAATGCAGGTTTATTTTACAGTAAATGTAGGAGGAAAATTTTGGAACTCACGCTGGATGTCTGCTTAATATTGGGTCCGCTTAATACAGGTTTCACCATAATCATAGGAAATGACCAGGGTTGTATCCTCCTCACTTCGCTGAAGCCTTACAATTAAATATGAGTGGAAATACTTCTGACCTATTTATGTTTTTTTCATTATTTTCTAAACTGCTTTGTCGATTTTTTGCTTCCGGACTTAACTTAAATTAAGAGGTTATATGTCGTATGTCAAGCATTTAATACAGGGAGTAAAAGAAAGCTGTCTTGTCAACTGTTATTTATGACGCTGTGGCTACACATCTGGCAGCCGGACAGGTTTCTTAAAATACTCCTTGTCTGGCAATGAGACTTAGTGAGATTTAGTGAGATGTAAAATGAACGTTATGACAGGCGACCCAAGAGGAATCGAACCCACGTTGCCGGCCTGGCAAGCGATACTGATGACCACTGTGCCACCTCAACCAGCAGGCAACATTTGGAATTTTTTAAGTGTTTATAGAGTTACCCTTAGCATTATTGAAAGCTAACCGTAAACAGGCTAAGTGGAGAGCTATTTAGGCTAACCAGAGTGCTATTCAGGCTAACCGGAGTGCTTTTTAGGCTAACCGGAGTGCTTTTTAGGCTAACCAGAGTGCTTTCTAGGCTAACCGGAGTGCTCTTTAGGTTAACTGGAGTGCTATTCAAATGTTTTGACTGTCGGTTATTTTACAATAGTCTATGTTATAAATCCCGATATACCGGGTGCCGGGCTCACCAAAATAAGTATTCAGCCATATAGACCCTTTTCATAAATGGCTGCCAATTTAAAATTCTTTTGTATGTATTCAAATTAGCCTCACTAAACTTGTTTGGGAGTAAAAATTCTTTTGAATTATCGACTCAAGAACGAGGTTAGTCAGGCTAATTTTAATACTTACAAAAGAATTTACAGTTGGCAGCCATTTATGAAAAGGGTCTATAAACAAGGATTTGACATTATTAACTGAAATTTTTAAAAAATAATTTTGACTGCCGGACATAGAGACACAGCGTATTTATGAAGAGGCGTGTAGTGTATATAAAGCTGCTGCAAGTATAACAAGCCTTGTACACATAATTTAACTTAGAGAAAGTACAAAGAGGACACATAAAAATAAGTAAACTTTGATACCTGTAGTATCGATGACTCCTCTCTCCTCCGCAAAAACAATTTCCCTGACAAAAAGAAAATAGCAAACCAGGCAGCAACACATAGGTAAAGCAGCAATTTCTTAAATTGCATGTGTCCGGAACAAAAGTTTACTGTCGACCTTGAAGAGGCCATCCTCACTTTGTGCTGGTCCAGAGCTACAGTAAGCTTATTGTTTGCCACATAGCACACCATACAAGCTTGTTGACTCAAACAAACGTCGTTTCTACCGGCGTTGATTTAGCTGCTTGGCCATAAAATTTCATTAGGACCCATTAGCTACAATGTTGAAGCTGCTAAGGATCGCAATTTGTAGCCCTATGAACATAATCTAACACGTTTCCAAGTGAGTCGCTAGTGAGTAAGTTTCGGAAATTGAAAATTGCTGAAAGCATCAGACATCACCATGGTCACTTCTACTTCGCGGCGTAATTTGTGCAGTCATCCCCGCTGAAAAAAACACATCACAAACACGAAATCACTTATAAAAAGAGTCAAGATAGCACTCAAACTAACGACAAAACTCAGGCATTGAGGAAAACAAAATCGTCTTTCTATTCTCGTCCCCATTCCCCAGAGTTCATCATCTCTTATCACCTAACCACGAGACTGCAAATCTATCGGTCAGCGGGAGATGACAATGAATTGTGCGACGAAGTGACCACAATCTCAATGAATGACAATGAGATGACAATGACAATGACAATGAGATGACAACGAATCGAATATTAGGGATTATTACTAATCAACGCTTATCATGGAACCCACACATAGACTACGTTGTATCCAAGGCCAACAGAGTGCTTGGCTAATACAATGCAGCAACAACAACAACTGAATCTATCTTGCTCGCGCTCTTTTTTCGGGTGCAGACCCGATTGGAAACATCAACCAAAAGTCCTTTCTTCGGTTCATGCGAGTAGGGTTTGCTTTGATGTAGACTACGTTCTTTCGCTTAATCCATCCTGCGTGACGCGTGAGAAAACCGCGAGAAAAAATGGCCGCGCGAATTCCTGGGGGGCGAGAAGCGCGTGTCGTCCCCAGGATTTCACGCGGCCAAATTTTCCTCGCGGTTTATTTACGGTCTCCCTCGACGGACTAAGCGGAAGAGGGACTACTAGTAGTCTACTTTGATGCAACACTTCAACTTTTAAAATGATAAAGATTTTGAAAAAGGCAGGCAAAAGGGCAGACAAAAGGCAGACAAAGTAACATGAATAAAAATATACATTTGTATAAGCAGACATGCAGACATTGTAGCTTCCGTAAGCTGGTCTTTAATATCAACGTACCCAAGGGGGTACAATAAAACGTACAATTCCAAAGAACCGTGTAAGGCACTTTGAAGAACTGTTTTGGTAATACGGTCCACACTGCAAAAACAAAAACTCGCTGCCTTCCAAAACGTCCCACGTGCGATACCCTGGGGAAATGTCACGTGACACTACAAACCCGGATGTGACAAACCGGATGTGACAAACGGTAGCCACAGACATCGCTTTCCATTCGAATGTGATCTCCACTAAATGTGGCACATAGCCTGTGAGTGTATTACAAAGATCCGCCCCCAGAAGTAATAGGCAGAAATTTCTTAAACACTCTTGTTCTTTGGCCATTTCAATTTAACAAGAAATAAAATGCAAACAGCGGCAACAAACATAACACATGAACTACGCATGGTTTGGAACAA